TGTGACAGGCCTGTTACAAAGCTAATTTTTAACCCCCAGGTAATGGCTGATGGAATAAGATATATATATATAGCAATGATGTTCTGTCCCAAACACCATCCTATACTGAAGAAACATCAGAGAAATGTTTTGTTCATTTGTTTTCTGAGGCGATGACTGTCTTAAAGGAGCAGAACAAAGCTGCGGAGCTTTTTCATGACTATGAAGTCACCTCCTACACATCATAATCATCATGCAGCTTGCTGTAATTTTAAAACTTGAATATTAGTTTTCTTTCTAAAACTCTAAATTGTGAGGTGCTGACATTATTGCATTTATACACATCTTGAAACTGAACAGAGTCTGTAAAAATATCTATGTCAGATTTAAGCAACATGGACTGGTGTTTAACACTTGGGCATGCCTCTTGCATAAAGATGAAGGGTTCTTATGTAATTATTACCATAATGCAGATTTATTGGGCATGAAAAGGCAAAGAGACACATGAAAAGATGCATACATACAGAGAAGAAAGTATCCAGTAAAGAATTTCACATTCATTGCTTAATCCAAAGGTAATGAAAATAAATAAAATTATTGAAGAATTGACACAATTCTGAATCAACACTGATGACATAATAGAGTATTTTAGAGTATTTCTCCTAAATAAAAGTAAAAAAAAATTGCATTTGTCTGCTGTATTATTCCAAAGAGTTAAATAGTCTCTTTTGCAATCTAGAAAACTTTTTAGCATAAGATATGACATTTATAAAATTGTAAGTTCTGAGTTTTATAGATTACATTAGCTTTTGTAACAATTTACCTAATATGATCTACAACATTTTATGAAACCAGATATTCCTCACCTCAGTTAATTCTATCATTAGAGAGGAAATAATAAAAAGGAGTTCAATATTAGATTGCACTGTTAACATTACTCTTGGAAAACACTGGGGAAAGGACTGAAAAGAGAATTATTCATTACACTGCAGTCTTACCTTTTACAAATGTTTTCATAATCATGTTGATCAGTTTGGACTCCAAACTTTAAACTAATAAAAAGTGTGCTATGGGGTTATTTTTTAGATTTTATATTTCAAAATAGTAATTTATATTTTATTTAGAAACATACAAGAAACAGTTGAATTACATAAGGTATATATAATACAAAAGAAAAAAGGAGAAAAAAAAGAAGGAAAATGTGATCAGGAACCCAAAATGTTTCTAATATAACTACTTGATTCTCACATTTCCAGTTATTCTGTCTGTAAATGGGGAATACATATGAGAACAATTACTTTTTGTGAACAGCATCTCTCCAGCTCTAGCAGCAAAGGACTGAGCTTCTGCTGCACTACATGATCAGGTATCTGTGTTAAAATGACAGTGCCTACCTACATTTTGTTCAGACACTACATGTACACTGATACATGTGTAAGCTAACTTAGAACTCATTTATCTACAGTATACTAGGGATACTGCCAATCAGTGACATCTCCCTCTGTAAAAAGAGGTCAAGAAAAGACCAACGCATTAACAAGAGGCAGAGCTCAACTTTATTTATTTCAGGATATATTCAAATAAATGTCTGAGAAATATGGCCTGCTACAAGGATACAGGAGTTCTAATGAATAAACAACGATATTTGCTATGTAATTTTCCCATTTAAAATGTGATTATTAAAGGATAAATATATGCTATATAAACACTGTAAGATGCACTTAACATACCTTGGACAGTAAATCATTCAAATATGCAATCTTCATAGACTACTAAAAGCAACAATTAATTTTTTTTAGCTAACAGATAAAAGCAGATGCACAGCACTGGTATGTCTCAATATTATTAGGTCCATAATGCTACTTAGCCATACTTTCTTCTAGCAAATACCCTATTAATTTTTGCCATGCCCTTTAGGTCTTTTGCCTTACCAACATGAAACAAAACTAATCCACTACTGCCACTAAGTAAATTTTGCCAAAAAACAATTATATAGCTAAACATAAAAATCTTGCAGATTGTTGTCGGGGTTTTTCCCCCTCTTTCATCCTTTACCCTTTATTATTTTTATTACATGGACTGTAACTAATCAAAATCATATTGTTTTTAAGCAATTAGGTTATATACATACACTCTCTTATTCTAAACACAAGCATTCTAAATACAGGGGACAATATCTGCATTTCTAAAATCATCATTCTACTAAATATCTATCTTCCATTGATAGCAAAGATTAAAAAAAAATCACTTCTTCAGAACAAATAATTTAGAATAAAGAAGTCATAGACAGGTGGAGCTCCATCTCATCTACCTACAGCTGCTTTTAGCAATAATATCATGAAAGTAATGCACCAGAGACCACACTTTTTTCTAATTCATTTTTTACTGTATTTTCACGAAGGAGCAAGGAAATGGGACTCCAGGCAAGCTGACTACACACGCCAGTAGTAAGACACAGCTCACAAGACATCAATCCTCTGATGTGTACCAAAATAAATGACTGAAAGAAAACTATTTATGAGAAAGTTGTACTTCTACCTATTTTGACACTTAACCATAAATCCAATGTGTCAAAAACTTATGTGACAGAATAACGTCAACCACCAGAATAACATCAACACACAAAAACAACAGGTCTTCTTCATTTATCAGTATTTCTTAAATAAACTCAGTGACAGCTATGTACTACTGGTGTCAATATACTCCCACTCTGCACGATTACAGATCATCAGAACAACTGTTTATCACTGACTGAACATTCTCAGTAATCATAAACCTTCTCATATGCATGGACAAGGCCCTGAATAGCTAATGTCAAAGTAATCAGTCTTTATCCCTGACACAAACTCACATGTTTTGGTTGTGCTGAAAAACAGTCTTTCAGTAAATACAGGAGAAAACATCCTACAGACCCATAACACAGGTATTTCCCCCATCTCTTCAATTAAAATCTTTAATAAGAAAATGATTAGTGCCAAATCTGTAGAAAAATTGTCCTTAGAAATGTGTCCTTAGGTAGCAATCCTTCTAACCTTACTAGACTAGGCAGGATTTATACCAATAACCTAAGATCAGAAGCTCTATTTCTGAAAAGAAATCATCAACTATCTTATTGCCTCCAAAATTCAGGTAAAGGGTTTATATGTCTTGTAATCTTCGTAATTCTTTATGATATTTTACTCCAAGCTTTTGGTTTTACTTTTATGATACTTGCAATTCAATCACTGCTGTCTACCACACAGCCTTGACATTGATTACTAATACAGTATTGCAGCTACATCACCATGGCAACTTGTTTTCAGATAACTTCTCAAGCCGTATTTCTATCAACCACAGGAGATGTCCTATAAATCACAGTCAATCCTAAAATATGTAATATTTATTAAAAAAAAAAAACCACCTACTCTTCCATTACAATCCCACAACCCTTCTAGTTTGTGTAATTTATCGATTTTCTCACTTTTTCAGTTCCTTCCTTCCTTTCTAGCAAACCAGTATTCATTACTCAGGAGTTGAAGTTAGTTTCTATCCAAAACCTAAGGAGATGGCAGAAAGAGGTGTGCAGTCCCTCAGAGACAGAAGTTTGGAATCTAAATTCTGTAGATAGAAGAAGATTTTGGCTAGACAAGACAGACTATTTTCTCCAACACTCTAAAGCTGTTGAAATTTGTGGTCCACTTCCTCTGGTTTTCTTCTCATTTCCTGCCATCTCACTTCCATCTAGCTCACTTAATGGACAGAAAACCCTTCAGATTTTTGGCTGAGTCAGTCTTTCTCTGGCTATTGTGCTGCAACTGGCTTCCCAAGGAAATGAAGGAGCATCAGATGTGCTACCACAAAGGAGAGAGGGAAGACAACTGAAAGTTGTACATCCAGTAGCAATGAACAAGCAGATTGATTTGACCGGGTCCAATCCGAATGCCAGGTACCTCTGCACAAATAAAATATGACACTGTTCTTTTGCTTCCCAACCCTGCTGTTTGCTGCTCTAAAAGGATCAATATTCTGTGTATTCCAAAGTACGCAGAGAGCAGTTTGCCCCAGTGTCAGAGAGATCTTATGGCATTCTCCTATCCCACACTTGTGTATGAACAAAAGACACTACAATATATTAAAGCCACGTTCATAATTCCTAAGCTAACAAAAGTACAACCTAGTATTATGAACTTCACCCTCAGCTCCTTTAATATTTTCAATTGTAAGAAAAGCAATTTCATTTTAAACTAATTTGTTGAAGTAGCAAAGTTTTTAAAGTGTTGTATATTAAATGCAGAGTTTAAATATATTTCTGGTATGACTGTCCTCAAACAACAGCTTAAATGCTTAATACACTTGCAAATGTGTCTAAACACTTCTAAGTCCAAGCTTCATACTTTAGTATTCCAGCTTAGCTTCTCATATCCAAATCTATCCTGTAGGATTCATTATTATTAGTGCTTTCTGCTACAGAGATATTTTCTGCTGGGGAGAAACTGAAAGCAGTTAACACCTGCGTTTTGAAAATGAAATTTTTATTTGACGTGAATCAAAAAAGCATTAGAATTAACAGACAAGCATGCTGCAAACAAAGCTGACAGTCATCTTCAGTATAAAACAGAGCGGTGTTTTTAATAGCTTGCAAATACAGCTGACAGGCATGTCTTTATTCAATTAGTTCCTAGTTTTCAAGGGCAGAGTTGTGTGCACACATCCAAACTGCATTTTCTAATTTTAGAGACTTTCTATATTGAATATTTAAAGCTACTTAGTATCTGAATCAATTTAACAGAATTTCACTTAAGGTACTTTTCAATTTTGGCTTTCAATAATTTACATTGTATACCTCAACACTGTTCATGACCTGATCCATAATTACTTCCAAGCAGATCTCTTGGCTTTCTTTTTGAAGTATTTCAGAACAGTTATACTTCCGTGTGTGCAGATTTTTGTATGCCTCTTGGTATTATAAAAGTTTCATACCAATCCATCTGTGTATCCTACTTACTTCTGTGGCTGAAATAGCAGGTAAAACAGGCACTTACTCTTCAGTGGTTACAGGGCACTTCTCCACTCCTCCTTTTCCAAATGACTTGACAAATCAAATCTACTGCCTTTTAACTGCTGGGAAACAAAACCAAAAAAAACACACACATGTCAGAATTCAAGGAAATGAGGGAGAGGGTATTTTACTAAAAAAATCTCTTTCAGAGAGAAGTGTAACGGTGGTATTAACACTTAAACCTTTCCTCACAACACCTAGCAAGGATCTCTGAACATGAAATTCCTTCACAAGAATACTGTGGCATGCATAGAATTAACATATTTAGACAAGAAGAAAGAAAAAAAAAAGAAACGATAATATTAAAAATATATAAATAAATATAAAAATATCTCAATTCTCTGTCTTTTTACCAAACTGTGAACCATCAATATATCAACAATGAATTAATTTTTTCTAATGCCTTCTCCATTGATCTACTGTATTAAAGGATTAGCCACGGTTTGTGTTTACCACCATACTAGTATCAATTTTATTTAATTGCAAATACAAATGTTTTCCCCTTAATACAGAAAAAAGCTACTTTGAAGAAGCTTTTATTTATCTTTTTTTTAATACAAAAGCTGCAAATATCCATTGGAGAAATTGCAATTGAAAAGAAGGCAACTGTAAGAAACATATTTTCCAAAGTAGAGGATAGCTGCTGATTACCTAACATTCGCCAAAGGTATCAGTGAGCAATGCAGTGCTAACACCGGTTATTCAACTGAGTTATTAATAATTGTAATTCTATAACAAATGAAATGTTCTGGAATTATTCCTATAAAACTAGTGTGATGAAGCACCTACAATTTACAGTAAGCCTCATTCATAAGACAGCAGATACTAGAACATCAGTCTTTTCAAGCTTAATGTATATTAGAGATGTCATAACGTTGAACACACTTCTGTTTCACAAATTATGTAAAACCCATCATGACTAAAACATGAAATAGGAACAGTTTGCTTTCTAAAAGTCAACAGCATTCTCATACCTCGTCAACACCAGTCACAGATTTTAAATGACCACCACAAGTTACAAAATGTGTTTCTATTCATAGCAGCTGCCGGTGATGCTGAGAGATTACATGAAGAGCCCTATTGCGCTACACACACCCACTCCTTACACACTGCTAGGAGACAGCCCCTGTATTGCATAGGTGAAAATGTACTAAAAATATATTTCTGGAGAGAAGCATTCCCTGAATGAAAAGTGGCCATTATCTCCATGTTACAAACAGAAAAATGAGGCATGCCAAATATCACAGGGTAAAATCTACTTGAGAGCAGTGCTCGGATAAAATGAGGTCTGAATAACATCTGTCCACTCTACTAGCGCAGCTATGGACAGGAGAGAAGCACAGATGAGCTGCTACCAACTTACCATCCTCGCAAGGCCTTCTAGGCAGGAGATCAGAAGCAGTGTGCTGGCTAACAATTGCTTATTAAGTTTAGATATGGAGAAAGTCAAAGAGACTGACTGAGGGATCGGTGAGGCCTGTGCTAACGAACTAGGTGTAAAACCATGAACAACAGGGTTGCAACCTTGCAGGAGGAGCCCAGGGTTGAAACACTGAAGAAGAACGGAGCTCTGCCCTATGGGCCTGGGGCATCACCACTGCTGGTACTGGACGGCCTCTCCCCTGAGCCTGTGGTGCTGATCATGTCAATGAGCAGGGCCACTGCAGCTATGGCACGTGTGAATATACACACTATACCAAAAACTCAAGTATATCATGCTCCTCCTCGGCACACCCTGCTCCAGCTGTCCTTTTGTGAGGCACTAAATTACTGACTCAGACTACCTAAAGTGTGGGTTGGGGGAGAAGGGACAGGTCAAATTTCACGGAGGTGAGGTGATGCCCTGTCCCACACCTCAGTCCCTGCGAGCCTCCTTGGGCAGCCCTGGAGCAGCTGTCACTGAAAGGCATCCCAGGAGCACTGCCCACATCACAGCTCAGAGCCCCTGACCCAGCCCCAGACTGGCTGGCACACTGGAAGTCCTGCCTGGGGGTGGGGGGTGTGGACACAGGGGGGCCAAAGCAAATAAAAGCAGCAAGATGTGCTCTCCGATTTCATTTCAACCCTACCATTTGGTCATGTGGAAGCTGGACTTGCACAGGACTCTCTAGTGGTAGCTATAATTTTTCTCTCTTTTTGTCTCTCTTTCTTTACTTCTTCTCTTAATCTCCTCTCATTATTTTGGGTAACTTGAGTATGAATGGGTTGGATTTTGCTAAATGGTGCTAAATTGCTAAAGCAACATGTTGCTTTTTGGAATGCTTTATTTTGGTTAAATGTTACCCTTTAAACTTGAGTCAAGTTCCTTATTTTCTAAAGTTTACCAGTAAAGTACCTCCTGAGAAAACATGTGCAGCATCTTCTCCTTTGTGCTCTCACTTAAGGTGTTAAAAGAACCGAAGGTTCTTCTAGTATGTCCAGAGGGCAAATATTGTTGGAGCCTTGTATATTTTTAAAATAAAACCCTCTGATGAGCTTGCAGCTCAAGAACTTGGGGTCTTACACCTCTGGCAATACTCAGCCAATGCAGAAATGAAAACCTGTATCAATGAGTAGAGTGGTCCTCTTCTTGCGGTTGCCTCACCCCCAGATTCCCTGTGACTCCAACCAACCTGCAGAAGCACCACGAGGTAGCTGTAGCAGAACAAAAACCAGATTTTTCTAATACCCAATGCATTCCAAGCACCTTACCCATCAACTTACTTCTTACAGCTTTTTCCTTTTTTATTCCCTAGGAAAAAAAAAACTAATATTATTTTTTAACTAACCAATGCTACAATTAAAGTTTTATCAAGAATATTTATTTTTTATTTATTTTTGTTACAGAGGGATATTTTGTTCAAATTTCTGCTATTAACATTTTCATTCTTGCACTGCAGGAAACATCAAGTTAGAGATGAGAGATCCTGTCAAAAAAAAAAGCTCACTTTCTGATGATAGAGTACTTAATCGAGTGCTTAATTAATCTCCCTTCCTCACCTATTTCAAATTAATGTCATCTTACTCATCTCCAGAATGACACCTGCCAGTACAGGTGTTTTACTTGGCATTTCTGTGTGTGCTCAAGTCCTGCAGAATGAAAACAGAGTTGGAGTCAGGAGACAATGCTGGAAGGGCACGAACGAGGACACCAGTGTGGTTGTTGCATGCTCTGGTTCCCAAAGCTACTCTATGAAAAATATTATCACTACAAAATTGCAGAAGAGACCTGGGAAGAAACGTCAAGGAATAGAAAGGGCAAAGCACTTTCCTGTCTTCTTTTTGAGAACTCATGGAGAGATAAAGGTAAAGGAAATTGCAAACCACCAACAGAAAAGCAGAAGAAGCAAAGTAAGGACATGGGGCTACCAACCAGTTTTGCCATTAGAACACAGGGAAAAGCAAAAGTGAGAGCTCTTACGAGACTCCTTTCTTCCACAGTACATAAATGGTGATTTTAAGAAAGACGGGAACAAACTTTTTAGTAGGGCCTGTTGAAATAGGACAAGGGGTCAGGGTTTCAAACTGAAGGAGTGTAGATTCCAATTGGATATAAGGAAGAAGTTTTTTACAATGAAATGGTGAAACACTGGAAAAGGTTGCCCAGAGGGGTTGTTGATGCCCCATTCCTGGAAACATTCAAGGTCAGGTTGGATGGGGCTTGAGGAATCTGATATAGTTGAAGATGTCCCAGTTCACTGCATGGAAGTTGCACTAGATGAGTTTTAAAGGTCCCTTCCAACTGTTTACCCTTAAGGAAACAATTAGCTAAGGAACTGGTTCAGGAAATGAAAAATAATGATTTATCAAGCAGATCAGTAGCGTTCAGAGCAGTAAGACATTAGATCAGCTCAATGGATTTAGAAGGCCAGGATAAATTGGCTGAATGCTAAATTGTAAAAGAACAATCTGAAAAGGCTCTCTTCAGCATTTTCATATTTTTTGTTTGCTTTTTATCACCAAATGATGAAAACAGAGTGAGCTAAACAATCTACCCAATAGTTCCAAGCTCTTAACACTCAATCTCCAGTGGACGAACCTCAGCCACTTCCATGTCTGTTACCTTCTATATTCCAAATAGTGTTGTGTATCTTTTGCAATAAAAGGGTCTGAATGAATATTAATAAACAATTTTTACACTGCATAATCTGCTCTTCTTTCAGCTGTTCAGTATAAAATACCATAAGGTTTATCTGGAATTTTTTTTTTTTAAAAGTGATCTAGAATTGTAAAAATAGTAATAATTGAAAAGAAATAAAGTATTTATATTCTTGAGCTCTAGCAAAATAAAGCACAATACATTCCATCAGTTACTGCAACTACACTTATTTAAATTAAATGCAGAAACATTCATCAGCAAGAGATACAAGTTTATAACTCTGGTTATAAACCTTAGGGTAATTTCTGCAGGTTTTTTGAGTTGAGGTCTGTGATTTATCTATTCTTTCTAAAATGGAAATATGCTCCACAATTTCTACTAGATACTGTTGTAACATCAAATGCAGTGTGTCTATTTATGAGAATAACCCATTAACTTCACTTTTTTCTATCAGTTCTCTAGCTTGCCTTGCTCATCCTGCACCCTTTCTTTGTTGTGCAAGAGTTTACTGATACCATAATTAAAACTAGAAATTTAACTACAGAAAGGGCTTAGTCTTACCAGTGTAAACTTTATTTTGGGGCAGAAATAAAAAGCTTATTAAGTGATTTCAGAAACCAATTACTTTATTTGAAACCGTGCACGTATAGTATCTCTTAGAAGCTGCTCAATGCTCTGTATTCCTACAGACGTCCTTCATAATGTTACAATTTATGTAGTTCCTAATGAAGAAATAGTTAGTTTGCTTTGTATTACTATCAATATTTTCCCAATTGTTCTGTAGAAAATTACAGTGTGCCATCACAAATCTAGTTACAATACACATAATTATAAGCTTTCCTAACAGAATGACCCTAAATGATTCTCTGGATATCTAAAATATTTATAAAATATGGGCACAGGAAAAAAATAATAAAGTTTAAATAACAGAAGTATTTTCAGTGCTTGCTAAGGAAAGGCTACTTATATATTAATCAGTCCTTT